CTTCCCCACCCCCCCTCCCCCCAGGTCATCAGCCATGTTTACTCTCCAGTTGGAAGTGATGTCCAGCAATGGTGACTGACAGATGGCAACCCCCTTGTACAGTGCCAGATGGCACTGCCACCCAGAAACATGCTGCACAAATTTGCTGCAGCCATACCAGGCCCATACCATGCTTACATTTACAAGGTAGCAGTAATGGATTCTAGTACTTTGGGAAGTCATTGGGTCTGTGCTTTTTTGAGTGCATGTTTAGGGGTTGGGTTCCAGTTTCAGCTGTTTGTTTTATGGTTCCATTCATCCTACTATTGGTGGTTTTGGAATTAATTCTTGAGCTGTTTAATAAAGAGCTGCCTGCTGTCTAACACTGTGAATAAACATTAGGTTCATTCATGGCATGCAGGCAACTGGCCCAGGCCTCTGTTGCAGTACATCTGGTATGGGTCAAGGTGGCCCATGTAGGAGTACATGAGCCATGGTAGCAGCAGGTATGTGGGGCAAGGTCACAGTAGCAGCAGCAGCAGGTGGCCTGCAGCATGACGGAGTGGAAGCCCCTCTGGCTGTAGTAGGGGCCATCCACCTGGGATGGGCAGGTGACAGGGATTTGTATCCTGTTGAGAGCCCTGATGCACTGGAGGAAGCTGAGTACCCAGAAGCCTGCCACCACTTCCATGGGGTCAGCGACCCAAACCACAAGGTTGACCAACACATCCTGGAAGGTACCGCAGACCCCTGTGACTAACAGCTGTCAGGCACTACTCAAGACCTACATGGGACAGCGACCTCCGGATTGGGCAGTGTGAAGGAGTGAGACTGAATGTACAGCATGGAGGGCCAGCAGGGCTGCAGCTGCAGCCCGGAAAGGAAGGAAAGTACCCACCCAATTTCCAGAGCAGCATCTCGCTCAGGATTGGCGGAGAGAGGCTGCTCAAAGGTATTTCTGGCCCCGGAGAGGGACAGAGGCGAGTCAGTTCCCTGCAGACCGCAGGGAGAGAGGAGCAGCTGAGCAGAAACTGCAGAGCGTGCCTGAAGAACACTGTGGGAGTGACCCTGAGGCAGGCGGAGGCCTGTGAACAAGTGGCTAGTAGGAATCTCCAGAGCAGAGCCACACCTGAGGATCCAGAGCAAGGGAGTTCACAAGGCCAGAGTGAATCTTCAGACTGGAGTTTTTCCAGCAGAGGATTCGGGGGAAGGTCTGAAGGGAAAAAATCTACACTCACAGGTAGAGCCTTCCTGTACAGGGTGGGGGGATCCTGAAAAACTGAGAACGTTCATAGGGGTGCAGGGTAGGCTTGCAAAGCAGAGACTGGACTAAGGGATTTGTTCTGGGGGCATTGCCAGAGCCTGACAAGAAGGCTGAGAAGCAGCCGGGGGTGGGGGGGGTTCTGTGATTTCTTTTGCTGTCTATTTTTTTTTTTGGTTTTGTTTGAGCACACGCCAAGACCGGCCCCTGGAAGGGTGTACCCAAAAGAGGCACTAGGACACCCTGGGGTGCAGAGAAGTTTACAACAGGAAGCACTGCAACCTGGCTGCAAAAGAACATCGTAAAACACCATCTGGAGAGATTAGGCTGGGGTAAAGGGGAGGTTTGGAGCCCCACCGAAGACACAGAGATCAAAACCAGGCAGGATCACCGTGGGCATTGGCTCCCGGGAATATAAAGGTCATCAAAGTCATGGCAGGCGAGAAAAACGTAAGATCCACTTCCTCGCAGACCTGGTGATCCAGAGCCAAGTTCTACCCTGTCGCCACCTGCAAGCTGACGAGCACAGGCAGTACTAGCAAACCCTACAATACCTACAGACATCACAGTCAGCCAAAATGATGCTGGGGGATCAAACAAGTCTGCCAGAAAGGGATAAAAGGCAGTAAAGCATGACCCTCAGTGGTGCCCTCTCACCCAGCACCTGACCTACCAACACAGAAAGACAAGCAGGCTATTCTCTTCTGGAGAAGACATCGCCTTGAAGGAAGCTAACTATAGACAGTAGACTCCAGGGCCTCAGATAGGTAGATATACTATCACCAGTGCTCTCACAATCACTACAACAGCTACTATACACTATACTACATGGGTTTAAATGACATGGGTTTGAATGACTGTGTGTGTGTGTGTGTGTGTGTGTGTGTGTGCGTGCGTGTGCTAAGGTGACCAGTACAGTAGACCCCTGATTTACACGAATATTGCATTCTGGGGAAATTTTGTGTAAGTCAAATTTGTGTAAGGCAGGATGAATTACCCCATAGGAAATAATAGAATAATGAGAGGTTGTGTACCCCAGACATACCTTAGTAATAGCTTTTTTCCCCCTTTTCTTGGTGGAATTGCCTTTAGGAGGTGCGTCTAGTGTCTCACCTATGCATCTTGAGATGCCGCTACCACAATGGCAGCACAATGGCGGCACAGCTCTGCTTGATTCCGCCTGCAAATCTTGTGAGGTGTTTGCGTATATACGTGAATCTTGTGAGCGTTCACATATATATGCAAATGATGCACATCTCGAGGGGCATTTTCCAGTCCAGACCCTAATAAAAATCGCATAAATGCGAGACACATGTGAGTCGGAATCGCGTGAATCAGGGGTCTACTGTACCCTTCATAACTCAAAGTTTGCATTTATGATTTCATTAGTAACTTCACATCCCAGACAATAAATTAGAATTCATTATGATCCTATGAGTTTATCCTTTGTAGCTAACACAAGGATCTGGGAGGTGGCCCAGAGGCTGATAGCCAATGGCCTGGGGGTGGTGGGGCACAGGTTGAGCCATGGGCCAGGTTGTGGGGCCATGTGGCATGGCAGAATGAATGAGGTCAAGGCCCACCAGATCCAAGTGACAGTCAGCATGGGTGTGGAACATGGCTAGCGCAGCAGTGAACAGAAGACCACAGCACTGGTCACTGCTGCCAGGAGGAGGGCAAAGAGTATCCATGGTACTCTGGGAACAGGCTCTGGGGACAGCATCCTGGAGGGCTATGCGAGCAGACTGCAGACTGCTTGGAACTAGAGAAGCACGTGCCTAGGGAACAAGGAATGGGACACCCTTTTAAAGAACAGCACTGGAACCTGGGCAGCTGCAGCCAGAGCCTGGAGCTCCCCCAGGCTACTGCAGAGGGGCAAAGCAGAGAAGGAGCAGCTCTGGACTAAACTGTTCCTGTCAGGCACAATTTCCTCCCAATCTTGGAGCACATTTGGATGTGCATCTAGGAGTAGTTTACTGTACATGAATGTAATGCACAGTAAATTCAAGCACATAAATTGCACATGTAGGCACACCCAGTGGCAACAGCACTTGTTTGTTCTGTCATGGCTGCTGCTGCCATTCAAATGAAGAGAGTGGAGATGCCCAGCAGGTAAGATTCCTCTCCCTTCCGCTCTCCTGCTCTCCTCACTCTCCAGTGATTAGAATTCCTCTCCTCCCCCATCCTAGCCCAGAGCACTGGAAGTTTTTTATGCCTGTGATTCCCAGCATATGGCAGAGAATCAGGAAGCTGTAACTGACTGTTTGGTCTCAGTTTCTCCACCACTTTCCCTTTGGAGGCTATCTGGGTGGCTTTGTAAGAGAAGAGAGCCATCCTTTGCCAGGAGCCTTTGTTTGTAAGCTTATAACCTGCTCAGCCTGGATCTCCCACAGCTCAGCAGAAAAGCAGATTTACTCACACTCATCCACCTGTAATGTAGCTGAAGGCCAGTCAGGGGCATTGATGAGCATCTGCAGAAGCACAGCATCTGCTTAGGGGACCTCTGGCTCATACCAAAGCTGCCCCATGAGCTGTCAGGGTCAGTGGGAAGCTGCAGAGCAGCACATCCCTGCCATTTGCATAGGCCTTTCCATTCAAAAGTGATCAGGGACTCATTTTCACCTCATAACCAAACATGTTTCTTCTTGACACCATTAAGGATACCAGGACAGAACCCCTAAGTGAGACCATCTCTCTTTTACAGAAATTTTTCTTAGTTCTTTGTCCATCTTCATTTTGAGAGTAAGAAGAACATTGGAACAAAGGAAAGGCTTCTCTCCTGATAATCTATTCGACCATTGCCTTTCCCAGTCTTGTCTGAAAAAAAATAATTTCTTGTGGTGAGCCAGTGTGGGAGTGTGCTTCCCACTGTCCTGAAGAGCATGGGATGGGAGAGAAAAGAGGGAACAGCAGTGTACCCCAAGAGTGGGATGATGGGCCCAGGAAGAGCCACCAGAGCTGCTCACCTTGGGGCAGGAGTCCCAGCAGCATCAGGGGAGCAGCAGCCAACCTCCAGACAGCCCCAGACATGCTTTAAAAGTGTGTGCTGGGTACAGGTGGGTGGATCTGGTTGCCTCTGGTATAACTAGAAGCAACAAGCCAGCTGCAAAAAAAAGGCAGCAACCAGCTGAGGGTCTGCATGCCAGAGAAGGCAGGAGTGGCAGGAGAGCCTACACACTGGGGAAGACTGGCAGCAGCGAGAGAGCCTGCCCCAGAGAGAAGACTGAAGAGGAGCAGAGTAAGTCCAGCCAACCAGAGGAGTGGCTGGCATTAGGGGCACCGGAATAAGGCCCTAGAAGGAGGAATACAAAAGCAGGAAAAGAATGAGCACCTTGTATGTGTATAAACAACTAAATGTGAGTTTATTTCCGTTACTATTTCAGTTATAAACTTTCCTAAGATTGCCATATTTTCTCGCATATAGTCCACGGGTTATTCAAGTTTTTACAAACATGACAGATGGGTGCAGGCTATACAAGGGTGCGGGCTATGCAGAGCCATTTATGCAAAAGCAAGTGTAGCAGAAGTTAATAAGCGCATTGTCGCAGAGCACCCCGGTGCTCTGCTCCTAGAGGAAAGAAACTGCCAGGTAGAGAGACAGAGCCCTGGCAGATCATAACGAGCCCAGCTGAGGGTTGCCAGGGTAACGAGCCCAGCTGCGGGTTGCCGGGGCAGCTAAGGGGAGCCAGCTGCCTGTAGGAGGCAGGGCCTGGCCCTTATAAAGCCCAGGGCTGAGACCAGGCTGGCAGTTCTCTGCCAGCAGCCGGAGAGGCAGGCGCTCCCTCGGCCGAGATATGGTAAGAGGCCTGACTTGCAAGTACAGCTCACTATAGCCCTGAGAGGATGGGGCACTATGGTTTAGCCAGGAGGCTCTAGTTTATGTTCAGGCTTGCATATTACACCGGAGGCTTGGGTGAGGCTGTAGGGGTTGGAGGAGGCCTCATAGGGACCCCAGAGGTGTGGGGCCCCTGAGCGCAACCAGTGGGTTGCGGGCGGGGAACAGACCCCGGGTTGTATGCGGCGAGCCCCGAAGAGGGGGAGCGCCATATTGGG